TTATATGTTTGAGTTATAGACTAGTTTTTAACAACAAAAAAAATTAACAAAAAAGGGGGCTCATTAAGAGTCTTTTGTCTACAAAACAAGTGTGTTTTCGTAAGCCATAGAGCAAGCAAATTCTAATTGCTGGCTTCATTATACAGAAAGTCTAAGTGTAACAATCAGAAGCCTTATTACACATACATAATTGAGTTTCATTGCAACTTATGAAAACATAAACTCTCTTAAACACACTTGCAGAAAATGTCGCATCATCAAATCAACACTTTTATTATACAAAAGTAATTGTGTTTAAAGACACAAAACATATGTTACTTATACAAAAAGAGTTGCACTATGATTCAGAAGTCTAAATCTTGAATCTGAGAGCAATATTTTGTTTGTAAATGTGGGGAAGAAAAAAGCAAATTATAAACTTTACTAATGAGAACTAAAGTGGCTTGCCTAGAACTCTACTCTGGCAATCCTGAATTCTTCTTTTTTTTTTCTGGTCAACTCATCCATGATCCTTCTTTCTTCTGCACCTAGCTCATTCCAAGTGGGTTTCTCATGCAGAATCTCAACATTTCCCTTCTCATTTGAATTATTTCTCAATGAACAGTCATGTGAATGTTCTATCAGCACCTGTAGGTCCTTTGCTCCCTCTGTAGAGTAATTATCTAATTTTTATATTCATCCCTCCCTAGAGCTACCCTTACTCCTCCATTTCTGCCTCTGGGCTGATAGTCCCACGTGGACAACCTTTTCCTACTCTGTCTCATTAAAAAGCAGTGAGCACTTGTGTCTTCTCGAGATCAGCCCTCTGTCTTTTATAGAACCTCACTTTCACTTGGCACTATGTAGAATTTGCAGAGCCCAATAGCCAAAAAAAAAATGAAAATGCAAGTCATGTTGTGTAAATATTAAGAGGGAAATATTTATCCTTTCTCCATGTATTGATATTTTATTTATATCTTTCCTCTCTGAACATGATGACCTAAATCTTTGAAGGTAACAAGAAGAGACCTGGCCTGGCCTTGCATGGTGGAAGAAAGTTTGTCTTAGGGTGAAAGGTAAGTCTGTTCTTTTTATGAAAGTTGTTATGAGGTATGTGTTCTTTGTACACACCCAACATCAAATAGAATCCAAGCCAAACAATGAAACAGATAGAAAATAATTACAGAGATATAATTCTGAGATCCCATGAGACTCTAATGACTTCTGTTGTTCTTCTTAATAGAGCATGAATTCTTGCCTTTATTTTCTCCTTCTCATGGAGACATCTGCTTGGGCTGTGCTTATCTGCCTCTAGGTCCACTGCCTTAGTATTATCATCTCTCCAATGTGTTTGTCAAACTTCCCATGTAGATTTCTGCCTCTGTCAGATTGTATCTCATAAACATCAACATTGAGCTATCAGGGTTTCATTAAAGTGCTGACCACCTGGATTCTCCACCTTGATTCATATATCTGAGTTTGCTCTTCTACCTGCTTTGTTCATAAGTCCTCAAGGACTCTATAATTTCTCAGGATTAAGTGAGAAAGTTTTCCCCAGGTCACACAATGCTCTCCTTGACTTGGCTCTTGTCTATTTCTTCAGCTGAATTTGCTGAACACCTTCAGATGGATCCGTTGATTGTGACATCCCAGTACATGACAATGTATTATCCATCTCAACAAATAGCTACCTACTGAGTGTCTTCTTGTGTCAGGCTTTACTCAAGGTGACTTGGGCTGTGCTTGTGAAGGAAACAAAAAAAGATGTTCATCTCTGAGTTTATAATCCACTACAGGTAGAAAGGCAGACAAAAAAGTAAAACTACAATGACTTATACAATATATAAGAATAGAGTTTTAAAAGGCAAAAGGAATAAGAGTGAGGGAACTTATGGAAAATCTGATGATTTGCAATTAAATAATATCCGCATTGAGAAGGGAATGTTTGATTAGAGACCTAAAGGAGTTAAAGGAGGGAGCCACTTAGACCACTCACAAAAGAAAAATATATATTGCAAAGTCCCTTAGCAGGGAACGGAAGTCAAGGAAAGCCAACTGTGACTGGAGTGACATGGAGTTAGTAACAAGGAGACAGCAGAGACAACTATGAAAGATTAGAGGAAAAGTTAGTTAAGATCTTGAGGTACTGAAAGATTGCTGTTACGTAAGGGAAATGGAGAGTGCTTGTAGGGATCAACCTGTTATAACATATATTTTAAAGTGACACTCTGTCCTCTGGACACTTGAATGAAGAAGGTCATGTACAGGAAAAGGCCAGAAACAAGGACACAAAAGACTACTGCTGTGATGCAGGCAAGAGACAGTGGGGACAAGGGAGCTGAATATGAACAAAGCATATTAGTTATGTGTATAAAAATACCATGGTGAAACCCATTATATTCTGTAACTCTTTTATGCTGATAAAAGAAATAATTTCAAAAAGCAAGAATAAAAAGTTTACAGCAATAAAGATGGTAAGAAGTGGTCCAAAGATCAGCACATGGTGATTCAAGGGTCTAGTGTATTCTCCCCATCTATTCACACTCCTTTCTAATATGACTTTCAAAATATCCTCTTGAAAGTCTAAATATCATGTTCTTGGATAAATTCAGAGTTTCTTCTCATAGCTTTCTTCGGAACTTCCATAATATTACATCAATTTCATTTTTAGAGCACTTAACCTCTCTATATCAAAATAGCTGATGCTATTGTCTGTCTCCCCACTGAAATGTTGGCAACTCAAGGCCAGTATGCTCTACACTGTTTTGTATGTTCAAAATTGTGTTTTTAAAACTGACGGTAAAAGTCATGGTTGAATGAGTGACAGCTGTAAACAGAGTAGTGCAAACTGTCTCCATAAAGACATCACATCCATCCCAGTGACATGGAATTCAGGCAATGGTCAGTCAAAAGTAATCACTGACATAAGATTCATGCTCACTGGAGAGGGCTAATAAGACCAATAGCAAAGCCTTACCACCCTTCCCTCTGCAATCAAGTTAGGAGAGATAATGAAGATCATTTGATGCATCCAAACACTAGAAAAGGGGGACCTTGGCTCTGAACTCCTTTTATTCATACTACTAGTCAAGGACTGACCCATCAGACTCGGTAGTAAGAAATGGCCAAAGGCATGCATGATATGGGATCTGGATAAATGATACTGGCAGTAATTTAGTAGGCAAATGTCTCACAGCTTAAGGAAGGGATATAAGACTACTTATGTGGGACTGCAGAGGGCCTGTATTCAGGGTGAATAAGGAGCTGTAGGAAGCACATTTTATCATCATAAAAAAAAAAGACAGATAACCTCTGGTTTCTACAGATGTATGCAACTGGTTGACTTGAATAATGTCATGGGTTGGCCATCAGGTGAAGATCAGGTAAAGAGCAGTAGGACTTGCTGATAAAGGAAACCTCTGGACACGGCATTCCTACTGAGAGATGGTTATTTCCAATGAAAGTAAAAGAATTCATAATTAAGCCTTTGGGATTCTGGAAGACTCATCAATGTGAAAGGAGAATTTAATAATATTTAAAATTAATTTCAGTACCTGAATTACAGCACTAAAGTTCAGGTCTGAGACCAGAGGAAGAATGGGTTATAAGAAAACCAAGTTAATGATGGTTTGTACCCATGGGGCTGGATCCAGAATACAGATAATAACAAAAAACAATCAGGTATAGGACAGATGATAATTGGGGGCCATGATTCCAGCTGTACAGGACTGAGCCAATTCTAAGTACCCTATATTCCTGAGGAAGACAACAGATAGGGTTCTTGCATTCATCTGATATTTCCTTGAAATACTAAGCAAAGCTGAGTGAGCAATAAGATAATTGTAAGAATCCAGCTGAGTGGCTGACACAGATCCACCTGGAGAGAACCCATTATTCATCTTAATAACATGTTTAGAACAATATTCTTAGAACAGTTGGAAGTGCCTCTTCCAGGACAGACATAATACCGGTGCTTCCCTATCTCCTGAACAGTGAATTCACCCATCTTCTTGGGTGCCTCCTACAAGCCAATGCTACCTACTTATCCTCACCTTTAATCTTTCCAGTTTTCCTTCCTCAAATTCTTTGTTCTTCAAGAAAGCTTTCAAAAGAACCAAAGCTCAGAGTGGTGAATTTGGTAATTACTCTCTAGTTGTAAGAGGAAAATTTCATTGGGTATGAACTAAATGCCAATGCTGTGTTGAGTTGATACAAAGAAACGTAAGGAAAGCTCTTCTTTTTAGAGGACTACACATCTGAGAATGTGAGCACATTCTTAAATCAGGCATGGTAATCAAGTTTGAAACAAGTAGTATAGCACGGAGGGTAAGGAGAGAACACTATCCCAAAGTAGCATTTGTAATGTAACGTGGGAGAGGTCAAAGGGATCTGTGTTTTTACCTATTACTCCTCCTTATATGTGAAATGAAAAACAGATACCCTCTACTTTTCTATAACTAGTACCTAACATCATTTCTTAGATTACGGGTTGATTGAGTGCACAACTGGCTGACACAGAGATGTTTGCATGCCCCTTTGGAATCTCTCAAATATGCCTATTTCTGCTCTCTCATATCAGTAAATTTCAAATTACCTCATCTTAAAGGGTCTTATCACCCTTGGGAAATTTAGTATTACTAACTTAATATCTTACCTCCTCATGCTGAGAGGTAGGCATTATTGCTGTCATAATTAAGACCATATTAATTAGATTTTTTCAATCACCTGGATTTCATCAGATTGCACCACTAGTGGTTATGGAGCTATGTTATAGGATATGAAAGGCATGGAAAAAGTCTTTTTGACCCCAGCACACAGCTGGACCACTGCAGTGGCTGACATTGGCTAGCACTGTAGTCTAGTCAGATATCATAACTCTTCCCCACACAGCAGTTCTTTTTGGTATTTTGGAGTCTCTGTTATAAATGGACTTAAGCCAGTCAATATGTGTGGGTTGAGGGTTTGATTTGTAGATCTTTCAAGAGCAATTCCTGTGCAGCAGATGTTGTTCTATGTACCATGGAGCTACACCACTGGCCATGTTCAGTCTCCTCCTTCAAGTACTTGTAGCAGGTCTGCAGTGTCATACAGTAGATATCTGTGAAGAAAGAGCACGTAGATGTGGGACTATTATAAGAAGTTGTTTAACAAGAATTCAGAACCAGCCTAGATTGTGCCAGTAAGGCAAGCTATGACCTTTGAAACTGCTTAAAGATTTGCCCTGGCTCTGATGCTCTATAATGCCCCTGGAAATCCCCCAGCTTCAGGAAATGTCCAGAAAAATCTTTGATGACATCAAAGAAGGGAAAATAAAAGCCTAGCACACTGACACTCAGGCACCATCTTGGTCCTAGACTCCCTTTTAACCCCAGACCAATAAGGCTTGAGATGAGTCCTTCCCAGAGAAGAATTAGCAAGGGAATAATGGATCTGGAGTAGCTATGGAAACTTTAAAATGAAGGAATGACACAAGATGGCCTCTAAAGAGAAGAAAAGATTTGGAAAGAGCAGGCTGTAGAAGTTACAGTAGACAGTGACATGAAAAGAGGCTATCATTAATCTGGTATGAGTGATTTTTATCAGAAATACACTTTTCTATGTAATGGTGGTCAATAACTTTTGAAACAATAACCATCAGAACTTTAGAAATGCTGACTTATGGGTAAAACTGACATCGTCACAGACACACTTGATTTCCTGTGATTCTACTACCTATTTGCCCATTCTTACTGAAGAGGAGAGGGCATGTTCTGGAAGAGCAGCAAAGCATTGAACCCTGGATATTGGTCCCATGTCTCAGGCTTGCTTCAAATCCCATAGATTCTTCACAAATGTGACATTCCTGCTCATGTTCTTGTGAGTCAAATCACAAATAATCTTTAAGGGAAAACTAACCATAGTTCTTACTCACTGCCCTTGGGGCATCACTCCTGTTATGGTATCTTGCTTCAGGTCTGGGTGGATGCTAGATGCAGCAAAACACTGTTCTGTTTTATCCTTGGAGTGGTACACAGTTTTCTCTTTGCTGAGCCTTACAATAAGCATTCAGCTACCCACTCCATAGGAGAGGAGAAAGAAAACCCATGAGGTTGGATAACTGGATCAAGGCCCCAGCTAGGAAGTATTGGACTAGTATTTAAACTCTGCAGATGTAACCATACCTCAAGGTATAAAGTTACAGAAGATCCTAAGTTTCTGTTGCTGATTGTGCTCCTGAACAGACCTTAGAAGGGACTGAAGGGTGGAGTGGCGCTCGTGGCTGGCCGTAGCTGCAGCAGCTATACAGCACTAGTGGCTGGTGTTAAATGCTGGGGTGGCAGAAGAATCACGAGCCGTGGTTAACTTTTTAGAGATCTATTAGGAGAAGAAGAAGAAGAAGAAGAAGAAGAAGAAGAAGAAGAAGAAGAAGAAGAAGAAGAAGAAGAAGAAGAAGAAGGAAGAAGGAGAAAGAGAGAGAGAGAGAGAGAGAGAGAGAGGCAGAGATAGAGACAGAGAGACTGCATGGAGGGAAAGTACAGAAAGAGTATGTGGGAGAGAGAGAACACAGAGAACTTGTGGGAGCGAGTGTCCACTTTTTAGGCTGGGGTGCAGTCGCAGGCTGATGACGTAATAAGGACAGACTCCCTACAGGGTTGGCTTACTTCCCCTCATCTTGACCCTGCTTACAAGACTGACCAGATCTCAAAACTCACTATCTTATACCACACACACTGTACTTTATGCTATCTTGTTCAAGTTCATATGAATCCCTTAGGAGCCTAAAAGAGAGGAATGATTCCTAGACAAGCCAGGCCTAGAAAGCTAGCTCCTAAATGCACAATAACCAAAATCCCAGATGGTTCTCATACAATGCCTAGTGGGAAAATAAAGATGACTAAATCATTGTCAGCCATAACTACTCCTGGAGGTCCACATAACATTCATAGACCCTGGTGATGTAATACTTGTTAAAGCTAGAAAGAAATGCTGGAGCAGCAGCTCCAAACACATCAACATGCAAGTCTTCAAAATGTCTATCAGGGGAGCTGTGTTCACTAGTGCTCATCCCTAGACACCTAATAGTTCCTTTAGCTTGCACCCATGATTCCATGGCTTTTCCAGAGGATGGATGCTATTACATTAGGATAGTCTTCAATGATTCAGGACAGAATAATCCCTGAAACCCAGCTCAGATCCACTGCATAAAGAGACACAGCTTAAATACTAGGAACAAAGAGAGATTCATGCCAAAAACATGTTGTGGGTATTAGGTGTGACAGGGAGGTCATAAAGCCAGCACAGAAGGGCTTCATTAAAGAGCAAGTGCCAATTTGTTCATGTAGCACTAAGCAACTATTGACAATGGCACCAGCTTGTTGAAAACCTACCTTCTGCTGTACACTAAGACTTGAACTGCACAAAATCATCAACTTACCTTCACATGAGACCTGTGACCATGTCTGTACTGTGGGCTGGTGGCATTGGTTCACAATGCTGACTTAGGAGCAATATTAAAGTCAGCATTAGTCATAGTTGCTGCTATTATGGCACAAAGTTGTTTTTCTTGGTGGCTGTAGATAACAGAACTCATGGAACAAGCATAAAAAGTATATAAAATTTAGCAGTGCACATTATATAGAAATCTGTATCCTTCAGCTCTGCCTGTCACCTGTCTGTTAAACCTTGCACCAGCTCCCCTGTGCACGCGCGCGCGCGCGCGCGCGCACACACACACACACACACACACACACACACACACACACAGCTTTCTCCTCCATCACCACTACTTTCCCTCATTCCCTGTTAAACATGTAAACAGCTTTCTCCTCCATTGCCATGTCTTTGTACATTCCCATTCCATGTCTATGCATGTCCTGAGCCTGGGCATCCCAGAGCCAGCTATAAGCTAGTTATTTGTAAAGGAAACCAATCCTTATCCATGTGTCCATGAATACAAACAGAGAACTTCATCTCAATGAAAATACACACATCTCTTAAGGGATTTTTATTACAAAGTAAATCCAAAAGTGTCTCAGAGATCATCAAAACCCATAAGAACATACAACAATGTGTAACCCTTGCAAGGCTCAAAGTTTCAATCCAGCTAGAAGCAGACACTGGAAGGCCCTGTTTTGAAGGTCAGCTATAGAGACCTTGTAAAACGTATGAGCACTAAGTGTTCTTACGATTTCCCTTTGGAATTCACCAGGAACCATCTAGAGCTGCTGATAAACACTTTTAGCAAAATAACTGGATACAAGATTAATGCACAAAAATCAGTAGCCCTCATGTAAATATATATGAGACAATCCATCTAAAAAAGAAATCAGGGAAACAACATATTTCACAATAGCATCAAATAATATAAAATAACTTGGAGTACCTCTGCCCAAGAAAGTAAAAGTCTTGTATGATTGAAAACTTCAAGTCAAGCCGGGCACACATGCCTTTAATCCCAGCACTCAGGAGGCAGAGGCAGGCAGATCTCTGTGAATTCAAGGCCAACCTGGTCTACAGAGCGAGATCCAGGACAGGCACCTTGCAGGCAGAAGCAGGCAGATCTTTATGAGTTCAAACCAGAGAGTTCCAGGACAGCTAGAGCTACACAGAGAAACCTATCTTTAAAAAAAAATCAAATCATTGAAGAAGACATCATAAGATGAACATAATTTCCATGTTTATATATGGGTAAGATTAATATAGAAAAAATGGCCATCCTATCAAAAACAATCTACAGATTCAGTGCAATCTTCCCTCAAAATTCTAGTACAATTCTTCACAGATCTTGAAAGAACAACATTCAGCTTCACATGCAAACACACACACACAAACCACCTGTGTGGTAATGTATTATTCACTCTAATAAAATTTGCCTGAAGATTAGAGAACAGAACAAGCCACTGTATTAAACATAGATGCCAGGCATCAGTGGCATACATCTTTAATCCTAGCGCTGTGGGGAGGGGCAGAGATCCATAAGGATCTTTGTGAGTTCAAAACCACCCTGGACTACATGAGATTGATTCTATCTAAGAGAGAAACCGAGCCAGCCAGTGGTGGTATATGCCTTTAATCCCAACACTTGAGATCTCATGCCTTTGCTTGGGAAGCACACACACCTTTAATCCCAGGAAGTGATGGCTGGACAGAGAAAGGTATATAAGGCATGAGGATACAAGAACTAGAGGCCTTTTCAGGCTGAGGAGTCCTAGAGATAAGAGATGGCAGTGGCTTGTTCTTCCATTCCTCTGATCTTTGAACATTTACCACAATATCTGGGTCCAGGTTTTTTTTTTAATTAAAAGACCTATTAGAATTTTCATTACAAAACTGAATAGCTAAAACAATATTGAATAATAAAAGAACATCTAGACATGGAGAGGTATCATCATTCCAGATGTCAAGCTGTACTACAAAGCTATATACAAAGTTATAGTTCTAAAAACTGATGGTATTGGCATAAAACAGACATATTAATCAATGGAATCAAGCTGAAGACAAAGATATAAATCCACACACCAATGGAAATCTGATATTTTGACAAAGAAGCTAGAAATAAACACGGAAAACAAAGATAGACTCTTCAACAAATAGTACTGGTCAAACTGGACGGCTGCATGTAGAAGAAATAAAATAGATACATACTTATCATCCTGCACAAAGCTCAAGCACAGATGAATTAAAGACCTCAACATAAAACCAGATACACTGAACCTGGTAGAAGAGAAAGTAGGGAACAGCCTTGAACTTGGTAGCACAGGAAAAGACTTTCTGAACAGAATGACATTAGCACAGGCACTAAGATCAACAATAAATAAATGGGACTCCATGAAGCTGACAAGCTTCTGCATAGAAAAGGACATTGTAATTTGGATAAATTAGCATTTTACAGAATGAAAAAAGATTTTTGTCAACTCAACATCCAATGAAGGACTATTATCAACAATACATAAAGAATTCGGCAAACTGTATATCAACAGAAAAACAAACCTAAAAATGGAATAAACAGAGAATTCTCAATACAGGAAACTCAAATGGCCGAGAAACACTTAAAGAAATGTTCAACATCTTTAGTCCTCAGAGAAATACATGCAAAACGGCTTGGAGATTTCATCCTAC